ATTATTATTATAGTAGAGGGGTCTCGCTCTTGCTCAGGCTGGTTTCGAACTCCTGACCTCAAGCAATCCACCCGCCTTGGCCTCCTGGAGTGCCAGGATTACAGGCGTGAGCACTGCGCCTGGCCATTTGCTTATCTCAAACCAAGAGTTTTGGATTTTCTGTGGACAAGGAAACAAGCCTTGGGTTTGAGCATGACAGCAAATTAGAAATGAGATCCCTGTATAAGATACAGATCTTCAAGGGCTATATCCTCATTGAAAGGGTGGATCAGAAGAAAATCAGATAAAATAAAAACTTGTCTCAACTTGAGTTCTATTGAAATAAAAATCTCCCCTAAAGACACAGGTCTATCCCCACTTGGGTTTGGGATCAAAGAAACACTATTTCAGGCAGGGCTCACGCCTGTAATCCTAGCACTCTGGGAGGCCAAGGCGGGCAGATTGCTAGATGTCAGGAGTTCGAAACCAGCCTGAGCAAGAGCGAGACCCCCGTCTCTACTATAAATAGAAAGAAATTAACTGGCTAACTAAAAATATATGTATAAAAAAATTAGCAGGCATGGTGTCGCATGCCTATAGTCCTAGCTATTCAATAGGCTGAGGCAGGAGGATTGCTTGAGCCCAGGAGTTTGAGGTTGCTGTGAGCTAGGCTGACTCCACGGCACTCACTCTAGCCTGGGCAACAAAGTGAAACTCTGTCTCAAAAAATAAATAAATAAATAAACACTATTTCAGGAAATTCCTAGCCCAGAAATTAAACTAAGTGCTTCCTGGTTGGTATACTTCCAGGATGTCTGGCAGATGCAAATGCAAATCCTCTTGGGAAAAATGTACCATCAACTCAGGCTTCAGAGGATTCTCACAAATAATGTCCCACTGAACAAAAATTCATAATATCAGATTACAAAAAGAAAATATCAGATGGCAATAAGCTATCACATTGACATATGTGTACATATTTATCCCAGAAAGAAAAAAAAGAAAAGATGAGCTTTAAATTTTTGGACTATGAATACTTACTAGGATCTATGTCATTGGCCAAGATCCTTGATGCTCCACTCATCTTAGCAGCAATGGCTGTAGCTCCACATCCACTCCCCAGATCTAATACAGATTTCCCTCTGACAACATCAGGATGATCCAGAAGATACCTACATTAAAAAGAAGGGGGAAACGTGGGAATAGGTCAGTAAAAGGTATTAAAAGAGAGAGAGCGATAGAGAGAAGAGATGTCTTCAGGTGACTGACAAAAGAATAATGTGAACCTAGCAAAGAACTTGGTCTATTGTCTGTCTGACTAATGATGACAAACATCATTATAGCTGGATGTTGAACAGAGAAAGAATATCATTTGGTCTTTCTCTTTAGCAGGTGTGAAGAGTAGTTCCATACAACTGACCAATCATGCTCTTCAGCTTAAAAAAGTTGTAAAGAAAAATAAAAGTCTCAGGATCCCCCAAACCAATTATGTAAAAGTTAAGCCTGGAGACTGAGTCATGCAACACTGTTGTCCTTTTCTCTTAATAGACAGCTGTCGCTTTGCAACCTTGTGTCAAAGCACTATATATTAGCCAGACCCCTACAAAAGGGAAAAGGCCTCATGCATCTCCAGATGACTGCCCTCACACAGAAGTAAATGTGGGGCCAGCCCCTAAACCCTTCAAGATGTATATCCTCCCATAAACAAGGACATGTCAACTGGAACCTAAGTCTAACTTCTTGTCCATGAAACTAAACTAAATTAGTCAGGAATGGTGGTACACCTGTAGTCCCAGCTACTTAGGAGGTTGAGGCAGGAGGATCGCTTGAGTCTAGGAGTTTGAGGTTACAGTGAGCTACGATGATGCCACGGCACTCTAGCCCAGGCAACAGAGCAAGACCCTGTCTCAAAAAAAAAAGAAAAAAGAAAACAAAGAAAAAGACAAAATGTGGCAACACAACCAGAAAATTGGCATTGTTTGGTACCACCTGGAAAGCTTCCTAGTCCTTGGATTTCCCCCCAAAAGACCTATACTTTCTTTTTTTTTTTTTTTTTTTTTTTGCACAAAAACAGATTTATTGCTTTTAAAACAAAATAAGATGCTCTCAAAGAACTTTTTTTCTTTTTTTTACACCCCTGGGTGGGCATGAACAGAGAACTTTTTTAGTGAAGAAAATATTTTCAGAACTTTGAAACTTTTCTAACATATTTTGTCAGCTGATGACGGAAGTATTCCAATATTGACAACTTTCCAGAGGCAAGTGCCAGGCTGGACCACATGACCGTGTGGCCCCACAGCTGTCCCACTGGGACATGGCCACTGCTTAGAAGCGTGGCTTGCGCGTGCGGCCGGTGTACTGAGTGTCAGGTCTGACTGCCTTGCCCTGCCGCCGGCGCCGCTCCTTCTTCTCCAGCACCCACTCTCGGCTCTTCCTCGCCACTGCCCGCCTCGCCATGCTGAGCCGGACCCTTCCATTCCACAATGACAGGACCCACTCTGGACACTCGCCTTCCTGATAAACGCTGGGGCCAAAGAAGTGGCAGCAAGAGGGCTATCTCCCTCACAGGCATCTTGGTGGCAGATGACCGAACACTAGCTTGCTGGCCATGCAAACATCCCATCTGTGGGGCAGACAGGTCGCCACACACTACACTGGTGGCAACCCAGGCCAAGATCACCTGACAAGAGCCTGGCAGTGTCCAAGGAAAGCCACAGGCCCTGTGCCCAGTAATGCCACTGAAGGCCCCAGTGTGGTCTTGGGGTCAGCATGCCTTGTGTCAACCAAATGGGGCCTCCCAGTAACTGGGAATGTGTGAGGCAGGAAAACAAGGCTGCCCAGCTCGAGGCAGTCCTGACAGTGATCCTCTGGGGTTCATCTCGGCCTCTGTCCTTGGCTGCGGAGAAACTGGACCCCCCACAGCCCCAAGGGAGAGAGGCCCTGAAGACCTATGCTTTCTATATTTATAGACTTTGCATTTAAAACAGAAGTCCTTAACACCCTTTTAAGGTTTTACAGCTTTATAACTTCATGGCATAAAGAGATTAAATCATTTGCCAATCCCTGAACAAAGACTGCATGCAATACTTAAAAAGCATAGAAAATGTCCTAAGAAGACCTTTATGGTATGGAGAGTAGGAAGGGGTGAGGGAGGACCTTAAAAATGCAAATTTAAGTCCAGAGTGGGCCTAAGTTGTCAATAAGCCACTAGAGAAGAAAGAATCCTTGAGCAACTCACTAGCATCTCATTCATTCATTCATTCATTTATTTATTTATTTTAGACAGTCTTACTCTAGAGTGCCGTGGCGTCAGCCTAGCTCACAGCAACCTCAAACTCCTGGGCTTAAGCGATCCTTCTGCCTCAGCCTCCTAAGTAGCTGGGACTACAGGCATCCGCTACCATACCCAGCTAATTTTTTCTCTATATATTAATTGGCCAATTAATTTCTTTCTATTTTTAGTAGAGACGGGGTCTCCCTCTTGCTCAGGCTGGTTTCGAACTCTTGACCTTGAGCGATCCACCCGCCTTGGCCTTCCAGAGTGCTAGGATTACAGGCATGAGCCACCAAGCCTGGTCTAGCATCTCTTGTTTTATGGAAGAAGAGGCAACTACGGAGGGAATGTGAGAGCAGCTATTTCTGGATCATTTATAGCTGTCTCAGGTCTTTTATTTTTTGAGGCAGAGTCTCACTATGTTGCCCAGGCTAGAGTGAGTGCCATGGTGTCAGCCTAGCTCACAACAACCTCAATCTCCTGGGCTCAAGCAATCCTGCTGCCTCAGCCTTCCGAGAAGCTGGGACTACAGGCATGTGCCACCATGCCCAGCTAATTTTTTCTACTTATTTTTAGTTGGTCAATTAATTTCTTTCTATTTATAGTAGAGATGGGGTCTCGCTGGTTTCGAACTCCTGACCTCGAGCAATCCATCCACCTCGGCCTCCCAGAGTGCTAGGATTATAGGCGTGAGCCACCTCACCTGGCCTGTCTCAGGTCTTGACAGCTGACCTTAGGATGCTCTTGGGGAGACAGCTATATTTGGGGAAATATCTTGAAAAGTTTGGGTTAGAAGGGGAAACTATACAACAAAACAACCAAAAAAATACTGCTAACCTGTTCTAAATAAGAAAACAAGTAGACTTTTGCTCTGGTTTTTTGTAGGGGCAGGAGAATGAGGAGTGGGCTGAAAAGAGAAAGGATCTGTAGCAGCCGTAAAGGTTCCTATTTCAAGAGGGCAGTACCTAGACAGGGCTTGGCCTCCTGGCCAGTAGATTGCCCAGTAAGGATCACTGTGGGGCCACAGATCAGCTCTTTCCCACCACAACTTGCACCTGGGGGTCAAGAGCCGCAATTGGATTTCGGGGGTGAGGCTGCCACTGCCGGTGACTTCAGTGTTCTCCTCCAGGAAAGCTCTCATCTCAGGATCCAAAAAGCTTCCAGCTCCTCTCCAGGAACAGTTGGCCCAGGGAAACAAAGGAGGACGTCTCACAGCCTGCAGAAGGAGAACACAGCAGCTCCTGCGAGCTTTCCAACCTAGACTCAAAGCCATCAGGCCTTACCCTAAACGCAGGTCCTGTCAGTGTTGCTGTTGATAAGGGCTGCTCCTCATGGGGAAAGACAAGGGGTGTCTTTCAACTTGATCTCAACTGGAATTTCTGGATCTCTAAATAACAAATAAAAAAAAAAATACTAAAAAATCCAAGGCTGACCAACATTTCCAGATCTTATTCCATGATAAGAAAACATTACAGCGTAAGTTCTGTATCTGACGATTCACAGGTGCAAGTTCATTTCAGGTGGAAGCTTTTGATGCATCAACTTGGGGAAATCAAATCTTTTAAAATGATGCATTTTCTTAAAAGGACTGTTTTAATAATTTAGAATATATAAGCATTAGATTTTGAGAAAATCCTAAAGAAAATGCCTGTTACATAAAATAAGGTATACAGTCATCCCTCGATATCCACAGGGGATTGGTTCCAGGACCACACCCATACTAAAATCCAAGAAAACTCAAGTCCCTTACACAAAATGGCATAGTATTTGCATGTCAACTATACATATCTTCCCATACTCTGTACTTTTAAAATTTTTTTTTGAAACAGAGTCTCACTTTGTTGCCCAGGCTAGAGTGAGTGGCCTGGCATCAGTCTCGATTGTTGCCCAAACTAGAGTGCCGTGGCGTCAGCCTAGCTCACAGCAACCTCAAACTCCTGGGCTTAAGTAATCTTTCTGCCTCAGCCTCCTGAGTAGCTGGGACTACAGGCATGCGCCACCATGCCCGGCTAATATTTTCTATATATATTAGTTGGCCAATTAATTTCTTTCTATTTATAGTAGAGACAGGGTCTCGCTCTTGCTCAGGGTGGTCTCGAACTCCTGACCTTGAG